CCAGCACTGAATGCCGTATTCCAAAAGTGGCCTAACCAAAGTCCCATATAGTTGCGATATGACCTCCCAACTCCTATAGTCAATGAAATGACCAAAAAGGCAAGTATACCAAATGCTTTCTTCCCTATCCTATCTATCCGTGACTCCACTTTCAAGGAAATATGAACCTGTACTCCAAGGTTGCTTTGTTCAACAACACTCCACAGGACCTTACCATTAAGTGTGTAAGTCCTGCCCTGATTTGCCTTTCCAAAATGTAGCACCTCACATTTATCTAAATTAAACTCCATCTGCCACTCCTCAGCCCATCAACCCATCTGATTAAGATCCCGTTGTACTCTGAGGTAACCTTCTTCGCTGTCCACTACACCTCCAATTTTGGTGTCATCTGCAAATTTACAAACCATACCTCCAACTTTCACATCCAAATCATTTATTTAAATGATGAAAAGCAGTGAACCCAGCACCTATCCTTGTGGCACACCACTGTTCACAGGCCTTCAGTATGAAAAGCAACCCTCCACCACGACCCTCCGTCTTTTACCTTCGAGCCACTTCTGTATCCAAATAGCTAGTTCTCACATGGGAGATCCATGTGATTTAACCTTGCTAACCAGTCTACCATGAGGAAACTTGTCGAAGGTCTTACTGAAGGCCATTTAGATCATGTTGCACTGCTTTACCCTCATCAATCCTCTTCGTTACTTCTTCAAAAAACTCATTCAATTTAGTGAGATACGATTTCCCACGCACAAAGCCATGCTGACTATCCCTAATCAGTCCTTGCCTTTCCAAATACCTATAAATCCTGTCCCTCAGGATTCCCTCCAACAACTTGCCCACTACTGATGTCAGGCTCACTGGTCTATAGTTTCCTTGGCTTTTTCTCACCATCTTTCCTAAATAGTGGCACCACATTAGCGAACCTCCAGTCATCCAGCACCTCACCTGTGGCTATCGATGATACAAATAATTCAGCAAGCAGCCCAGCAATCACTTCTCTGGCTTCCCACAGAGTTCTAAGGTACACCTGATCAGGTGCCAGGGATTTATCCACCTTTATGCATTTTAAGTCATGCAGCAGCCCCTCCTCTGTAATATGGACATTTTTCAAGATGTCGCTATTTATTTCCCCACATTCTGTAGCTTCCATATCCTTCTCCACAGTAAACACTGAGGCAAAATACTCATTCAATATCTCCCCCAGCTCCTGCAGTTCCACACATAGGGGGTCTTGCTGATCTTTAAGGGTCCCTGTTCTCTCCCTACTTACTCTTTTGTCCTTAATGTATTTGTAGAATCCCTTCGGATTCTCCTTAACCCTCTTTGCCAAAGCTATCTCAAGTCTCCCTTTTGCCCTCCTGATTTCCCTCTTAAGTATACATCTACTGCCTTTATACTCTCCTAGGGATTCACTTGATCCCTGCTCTCTATACCTGGCATATACTTCCTTCTTTTTCTTGACCAAAACCTCAATTTCTCTAGTCATTCAGCATTCCCTACACCTACCAATCTTACCCTTCACTCTATCAGGAAGGTACGGTCTCTGGACTCGTTATCTCATTTTTGAAGGCTTCCCATTTCCCAGCCATACCTTTACCTGCAAATACCTATCCCCAATCAACTTTTGAAAGTTCTTGCTTACTGCAGTCAAGATTGGCCTTCCTCCAATTTAGAGCTTTAACTTTTAAATTCTCTCTATCCTTTTTCATCACTATTTTAAAACTAATAGAATGATGATCACTGGCCCCAAAGTGCTCCCCTGACACTTCAGTCACCTGCTCTGCCTTATTTCCCAAAGGCTGGTCAAGTTTTGCACCTTCTCTAGTAGGAACATCCAATACTGAATCAATCATAAAAGGACTGTGAAGGTATTGAGACAAAAGAACTGGCAGATGAAGCAAAAATGATATAAAAAAAATTTAATGCAGGTTCTGAAGCTTACTGCCATGTGTGGCAGAAGCACATTTTAGGTGAATGCATATAAAAAGTGCAAACTCTTATTTGAAAAGCAATGTGCAGAGTTACAAGGAAGATGGCAGAAAATGGCATGAAGTGAAATGTTCAGAGAGTCAATACAGATAGTGGTGTTATGAAGAACTTTATTTTATAATAATTCTGTGATTCCATAATGCTGAGTCAGCCAGTAGAGTGGGTTTGCCTCTGCTGCGACTTAATTTTCTAGATCTAGATATAAAGCTTAGAAGGCAGAAAGGCCCTCAGAAAGCAAAATATTGCCAGACTTTAAATTCTCAAGACCCTTAAAAGCCAAATAGAACTAGATTTCTATCGTCCCAATCTAAAAAGAATGGACAAGAAATTTGAGGATTCTTGCTAGAACAAGGCCTCCAGAATGCATTCTTCACCTTAAAATCTCAGCTGGAGCTGCATGTGAAATGAGTAAGGAATGATTAAGCTCAGTTACAATATCTTCTCCAGCTTGATAAAGAACCATTTCACAAAGCAGAAAAAATGCTGTCAAAAAAGATAAACACTAAAATTAATTAAATGGGAAAAGTTCTAGAGTAATCAGTTTATAAAAATGTAAATTTTGTACCTTGGATTCCGCTTTTGAAACAGTATTCCTCTTCCAACTGGATGTTCTGCCACCACTTCTAAAACAAAGAAAAATACATCAAATGTAATTCTTGTCTTCGCTTCATTTCATCATCAACCCTACTTTCTACCAATAGCATCAGGCATTCCTTGTTGTATCCTAGAAAAAACATGGAGCCAAGCTTAGAATATAATTAAAAACCTCCCATTACGGGCAGTGACCAATGAAAAGGAAGCCAGTTTTCCATTAATCCTACTTTTCTTTCCTTCTCATCCCTTCCTTTAACTCTATCTGGTCTTTATCTCACTATTATTTAAACTTATATTACACCTAAAGCCTTCATTTTCTTCAGCTTTCGTATAATGAATATTGGTGATTGCATGCTTTGTTATTGAATGAATACGCAAGTTACACACACAATCCCAGGAAATGGTGGGACGCTGAAACAGTTTAGAACGCAGACAAAAACCTGGAGTAATCAGATCAGCCATGATCTTACTGAAAAGCTGAGCAAGCCTGATGGGCAAAACAACTTATTCTGCTCCCAATTCACATGTTTGTATGTAATGAAGTGAAGAGAAATCTGGATAGATGCCTTAGGCATTTGATACTCTGTAATGACTGCAAAGTAGTGATTAACAAAGCAGATAAAATTCTCAACCACAACAACAAAAAAAGAACAAAGAACTGTGGATGCTGGAAATCAAGAACAAAATAAAAATTGCTGGAAAAACTCAGCAGGTCTGGCAGCAGCTGGGGAAAGAAAGTAGAGTTAACGTTTCAGGTCCAGTGACTCTTCAAAAAAAATTCTCAACAATATTAGATAAAATTCAAAAAGTCATGTTCCGATTGTATTTCGCTTTGGTCAAACTGCACCACACGTGCAGTACCATTCTTTTTATAGAGAGGCACAGAAGAGAGCATCTAGCCCTGAAGAGATGATGATGGTGATCACTGATATCATTGGACCGAGGTAAGCAGAATCTGGATTGTGCGTCACTGAATAGAACAAACCTCAGACAAGATAGTAAGCACCATGGAATTGGCAGATGTAAATCTGAACAGAACAGGATAAGCAGAACACAACTTTAAACTAACAAAATTAATCAGTGGACAGGCATCACAAAGTTCCTTTTATAAACAAACAGTTGCTGTGTTTGGTTGGGTGGGGGTTGGGGTGGTGGCAAGATGTGGTTGGGGATATTTTTCTGGATAGATGAATTACGATGGACTCATCTGACTTCCTTATTTGTAGCTTGATGAACAAATTTGTTACAATATGTTATTCTGGATGTTTTGTGAGCCTTGAGCACAAAGCACATGACACACAGGTGACTATGGATTGTATAGGACTGAAGTAAACATAATGCTTCAAAACAGATAGGTTATTCATGACATGGTAGATACACATAAAACAACTATCCTTTTAGTAACTCCATAGCCTCGAGCACATAACCTAATCAACATATTTTATTGACTGTTCACAATCTTCCAGGTGAGACATTAAATGGACTCTCCATCCGTCATTTTTGGTCAATACAAAAGACACATGTTACTTTGAGAAAGAAAAGATTGAGAGTTCAGTGTCCCAGTCAACACTTAGCACCCAACAGCACCTAAAACAGATTCTTGTCAGCACCTCATTGCTGTTTCTAGAATGCTGGCTGCCTGGTTTTCCTACATTGTGCTGACTAGATATGCATCAACAAAAAGCTATTCTTTAGAACTATTTTAGCTTCAATTTCATTAGCTCAAAGCTGCAAACACATCTACCTGAAATATCATCACGTTTAATGTTCAGGTGCAGTATTGAAGATGTAACTAGTAATACTTAATAACTTACTTTTGATCAACTACTAGAAATTTGATGCGTTGTTAAGTAGTTATGTTGACTGTACAATTAAACCACTTTATAGTCTTCATGATAGATCTCAAAGTATAACAAGGTGTAGAGCTGGATGAACACAGCAGGACAAGCAGCATCAGAGGAGCAGGAAGGCTGACATTTCAGGCCTAGACTCTTCTTCAGAACCCTTTTTTCTGAAGAAGGGCCTAGGCCCGAAATGTCAGCCTTCCTGCTCCTCTGATGCTGCCTGGCCTGCTGTGTTCATCCAGCTCTACACCTTGTTATCTCAGATTCTCCAGCATCTGCAGTTCCTACTACCTCAGATCTCAAAGTATGTTCAAAGTGAGTAATCTGTTGTTACAGGCAATTTGTGTTTGAGTAATTTGATTGCTCTTTGGTGGAATAATAAAAGGTGTTTGATGAGGTTGTACAGTTACACAGTGGATCTGGCCATTCAAAAAGGCATTTAACGCTATTAAGTGATATTTTGCCACCAGCAATTTTAAAGCTAGCAGTTTATAAAAAAGTGGCAGTATGGATTCTGCACATGCTAGAAAGGGGGAGAAAGCAGACTAATACTGGATACTTGTTTTTCAGACAGTAGGAACGTATTACCAAAACTAAGAAGCTGCTAAAGCTTTGTAAAACATTGGTAAGGCCATAACCAGAATATTATGTTCAATCCTGGACACCATACTTCGGGAAGGTTATCAAAGCCTAAGGAAGGATACAGTTACAGTGGAAAGGACTTCAACTATTTGGAGACCACAGTAACTCGTTAAAGAGCATAAAAAGGTAAATAGAAGATTAAATGGATATACTCAAAATAGTCAATGGTTTTGGTAGATTAAATAAGGTGAAGCTCTTTAGGATATTCTTGCATATTAGACACAATATAAATGCATGTTTGCTCTTATTCCTAAATTGTCAAATTATGTCTAGGTTTTGCTTTCACCCTCTTTAATTCAAAGATTACATTTGAAGGTTTTATTTGGAAATTTTAAAATAGAGTGTGTGTTCAAAACTTTTATACATTCAATGATGATTCTCCCAAGTTTGTCTTTTGCCTGCATTGGAGTTTCGTGCCACACAAAGATATATCTCTCCTCTAGGATTCAAAATACACAGTCAGTGGCAGGGAATTCACCTATGAAAGTCATAAAGGCACCTCTGAAAAGTCAAGCATGGGGCAACCAGAGGAAAATCATTCTCTTAAGTAGAGTGGACCACATCTCTGAAGAGCTGCACCTCCAATTATGCACCTCCAACTTTGACTGAGATTTGCTGCTAATAAGCTCAGTGGTGCAGGAGGCTGCAAAGGGCTTCAGGGAAGGCAGCAAATAGAGTGAAAGGGATTGGTGGATGGGGAACAAGGAAGAGAAATGGAAAATCTACACACAGAAACACACAATTATAAATACAGTTTAAGCTGCTAACAGAAATATGCAGGCTGGTTTCATCATACCTTATGGATGGCAGCTACTTGATCCTTGCTACATTATCTTGGGAGACAAAGTGTTGATGGAGAACTGATACTGTTCAGCAGCGACAGAGAAAATCACTTTACTCCCATATACTACCTAGTAAGTGTTGCAAAACAGCACTGCTACTGGTCTGCCTGGGAGCAAGCTGTCAGCAAAAGGAATGATATGCAATACTAAACGGTCCAGGAGCATAGAACCCAGGAGGAAAGAACATTAAACACATTAAGTGCGATAAAATATTTTCATACAAATTACAAAAGAACATCTGTTTAATGCATATCATTTCTTACACTCCCATTCAGCTTCGACGTGGTTCAAGCTAACTTAAAATTAGATTGAAGTTCGTCAACTGTGCAATGCTTCTTCCAGACTGTAAAGCATAAAAATGTTCAAGAAAAATGAAGCAAGGAGGAGTTTCTGCCAGGTTTCATTACAACATTTTGGCCAGTACAAAATAATGAACGAACTTGAAGAGCAGATTATATCCAGCAAGATGCTCCCATGGTCTTTTGCAATACTTAGAGTGAGAAAGCTATTTACAGATACATTAATAAAAGCACTTTATTGCTCTTAAATAAAGCAATGAAAACTTTTAAAGCAAGTTTTTTTGTTAAATTGCTTTCTAAGATGCTGCCCAATTATATTAGTTCATGGAAGAAATTTACTTTTGGCAGAATGCAGATGATTTTGAATGGAAACCAGAGGAATAAAAGACACTAATGGAACCATGAGTACAATTTTCACCAAGACTGCACTCAAACCCGAACAACTGTTCACAGCATCATTTTTAAATTAGCAATGCAATCAGCATCAAGTTGTAATGTACTGCTTGCACTACAGCTTAATACAAGTTGGGTAATACTGGCAACACTGGGTCACACTAAGTATGTTTATTGACTACTTCAACTTCTCACAACCAACAGGTTCATGATAATAAGGCACTACGCCATTGGAATCGGTTTTATGTTGCTCTCTGCAGCTGGGTTCAGGAATGGTGAGGGGGAGGCATCTTTTGTTGGGAGCTTGCAGGGGAGGGGGTGTGGAGAGGAAAGAGTACGTATTAGGGTTAAAGTTCGTGTGGTGTTGGTGGGCGTTTGGATGTTTGTGGGGAGTGGTTATGGGTAAGAGATCTAGCAATGATGGGGCTGCTGACAGCTGCCATCAGATGGAATGTGAGTCATTTTGGCTGGTGTCCTTTTGCCGAGGACAGATGTTCTATTGGATTCTGGGTGGGGAGGTCAACTAGTTGGAGGACAGGAACAGGGAGGAAGACATGTTTTTCACAAGGTTCATGTTCATGAAGGGAAGAGGATGTTCCTAACTGGGAAGTGAAAAGAGACAAGAGATTGGGAGACGGTGCAGTAAGAGATAGTGGTGTGGGTCTTGCGGGTGGGGGGGGGGGGGGGGGGGGAGTAGAGGGGGGGGGGGGGGGGGGGGG